TGGGATTTTGGCAGAATCAAACACTACAATGCTGCCTCCTTCTTTCTGAAGTTGGGCTCAATTTCTTGACATAATTATTTTAAATGACAAAGTCCTATAGTTCATGAAGCAGAGATCTATATGCCCCAAATGAGTTAAGACTCTGAATCAGACAATGCTTCCTGAGTCTCCTCTGTCTACCATGGCACTTCTTGCCTGTACTTGCTCAGTCCATGACTTGAGTGAGTTAAAATAGCCTAGAGAGCTCATGGGTTGGGAGACATTTGGCTTGTTATGAGAACTTGGAATAACCCTGCCAGGCATATGAAGAACCCAGAGACAGGCCCTGGTCAGAAAAGTATTATTTTCCTTCTCTCTTTTGCTTCTCTTTGCATGTACTTTTTAAAACATGAATGAAACTGAAACTCCAATCTCACCTACACACACACACACACACACACACACACACACAAAACTGATCCACACACAGTTTTCTTCATCTCAGTTAATCGTAATACCACTATTCCAGTTGTTCAGGTCATAAATTTTTGAAGTCATTAGACTCTTGTCTCTCCCTCCCAACTGCGTACTCAGAACATCAACAAATTTCAACAGCCCTAATTCCATCTAAAACCTTTTTGCTTCTGACCACATTCTTCCATTTTTACTTTAGTTCAAGCACTCATCATTTCCTGCCTGAATTATTCAAATATCTTTCTCACAACTCAGAAGTTCCCTACCTTTCTAGACCTATCAAGCCCTTCTAATTTCATTCATAGGCCAAAGGAAGTACTTAACAGTCCCATTTATTAAGTATTTGGGTGCCAACAATTTAATAAGTATTTACGCCTACAGTAGGCTGAATAATGGCCACCCAAAAAGACCAGGTCCTAATCTCTGAAATTCTAAATGTTACAGTATTTAGAAAAGAGGTCTTTGGATGTGATGAAAGACCTTGAGATGAGGAGAAGATCCTGGATTATTAGGGTGAGCCCTAAATGCAACCACGTGTCCTGATGAAATGAAGGCAGATGGAAATTTAATACAGACAGAAGAAGTGAAAGGCAATGGAACACACAGGCACACATGGAAGTGATGCAGCCACCAACCAAAGAATATTGGCAGCCACCAGAAGCTGAAAAAGGCAAGGAATAAATTCTCCCCAAAGCCTCTGAGGAAGTAGAGCCCTCTCAACACCTTAATTTTGCCCCACTGATGCTAATTTCACACTTCTGGACTCTATAACTGCAAGAATTCATTTTTCTTTTTTTAAGCCACCAATTTTGTAGTGATCTGTTAGAGCTCACCTAAAAAAATGGAACCTAAAACAATGTTGTAACAACTACGTAGTCATGTAAAAATAATACATATTAGCTTTAAAAAATTTGATTTCACTCTTAAACACAACACTTTCTGATGAGATATGTGTGCCTGTTGGGCACTGTATGTGTCAAACCTTGGAATCACATTAGACACTGCCAGCCTCATTTCCTGTTCCACATTGATTTTCACAGGATATTTCATAATTTTTTTTTCACAGCTACTGCCAAAAATCCAGCTTCACAGAGATAAGGCATCATTGAAAGGAAAATAGCATGACCAGATGTTAAAACTGTTCTACTGGGTAGAAGTTCACACATTACAGATGTCAAGTATTTCTATGATTCCTCAAATTTAAAATATCCTGCTACACCCAGTACTGCTTTGAATCCCTTCATGAATGTAAAATATCCTGTTATACTCAGTTGAATCTACTGTGGTGTCCTGGGATAACCTTGATGCATCTTTCGAACTGCAGTCCTAACTGGTTTTTCTGCTCCCATTTTTGTCCCCTCAAATTTGTCAACTTGGCAGCCATCATGATCCTTTTCAAAACATAAGTCAGATCCCATTAGTCTTTTGCTGAAACCTTCCATGGTTTCTCATTTCTCTCAAAGCCAAAGCCAATGTCCTTACAATAGCTTATAAGGCCCTCCCTATATCAGGGGCCAGCAAGCAGTTCCTATAAAAGGCCAAACAGTTAAGGGTTAGGTATACAAATATGTATCGTTCAGGCACCCTTGTTGATAAGGGGTGTCTCCCCGTCCCCAGACAGATATTGACTACCGTTAATCCCACCTCCCTTCCCCCCACACCTCCCCATAGTTTCCCACCACTGTCAATCCTTTTCTTATACTATTACGATGGATGTTCAAGGTCCACTACATGAGTGAGAACATGTGATACTCAGATATTTGTTTCTGTGAGAGGTCACTCAGTATTATAGACTCTAGTTCCATCCAGGTTGCTGCGGAATTCATGATTTTGTTCTTTTTTATGGCTGTGTAGTATTCCATCATGTATATGTACCACATTTTTCCATACAGGTGGGAAATATAGTTTATATTTTAAATTTTTACCTTTCAATTTCACTTTCCACACACTTTTTGAAGTCCCCTTGTATGATTGCCAAAAGCTGTAAATATTATAAACTCTGACAAAATATTAGTAATATGAACCACAAAATTGGTAATTGGAATATGGAGGACTGGAGAAGTATAATAATGTTAAATATATTATTTTGCAGAGCAAGTGGTCAACTGACACTCTTAATCAAGAAATAGCTCTGTGACAGCTGATCTCAGAGTCTTCAACACTTCTTACCCCTCTATTCTCCTCAGTAAAATAGTATTATCCATCCCTACACACCCCCAAAAAAATGGGCTGCTCTGATTTCTCCATTTGTATATTTTCTTTGCCCATATTCTTGGGGATATTTCTCATATATTTGCTGCCTTTTCCCTTTATATATATTTTTTTTAACCAATGTATATTGAATATCTATGTAAGCAGACTACTTAATAAATGTTGTTGAAGTAAAAAAAAAAAAAAAAAGGCCAAACAGTAAATAAGTTAGTCTTTGTGGGAAAGATCGTATCGCCTTCATCTACTCCACTCTGCAGTTGCAGCACAAAAGCAACCACTGTAAATATATAAATAAACGGGCATGGCTACATTCCAATAAAACTTTATTCACAAAAACAGGTTCTACTGTTACGCTCTCTCTCCCTCACTCCAGTCCAGTCAAACTGAGCTCCATTGCTGTCCCTTGAATACAACAATCTCCTGACTCAGGGTCTCTGCCCTTGCTATTCTCTGCCTGGAATGCTCTTCTCACTTCCTTCAAGTCTTTTTTCAGATCTTATCTTTTCAGTTAGTGTCTCCCTGACCACAATATTTGAAATTGCAATTCCCAGCCGGGCTCGGTGGCTCAGCCTATAATCCCGCGTCTTTGGGAGACTGAGGTGAGTGGATTGCCTGAGCCCATGGGTTCGAGACCCGCCTGGGCAGTGAGACCTCATCTCTACAATAAATCAAAATATCAGCCGGGCGTGGTAGCACATGCCTGTAATTCCGGCTACTTGGAAGGCTGAGGCGGAAGGATCGCCAGAGCCCAGCAGTTCAAGGTTGTGGTGGCCGGGAGCGGCCACTGCACTCCAGTCTAAGCGACAGAATGAGACTCCAACTCAAAAAAAATAAAAATAAAAATGAAATTGCAATTCCCTCACTATACTTCTTTCTGCCTTCCCTCAATCTGATTCCCATTACCAGGGCCTATTTCTCTTAGTATTTTGCTGTTTACAATCTAAATGTTAACACACTCACCTGCTCATCACTAAACTATAAGAACCTGAAAAATGTTTGCCTAATTTATTCATTGATACATGTCCAATGCCTTAAACAGTGTCTGGCACATAGCTGGTATCAATCAATGTTTGTCGAGTAGCTGGCTAAATGACTGTTTTTCAAAGAGTATAAATATAGTGACATGCAATTCCTCATCCCTCATTAAAAGTGATAGTGCATCTAGGATCTCCAAGGAACTCAAATGAGCTGAAAGGAAAAAAACAAACAGCCCATTACAAAGTAGGCAAAAGATATGAATAGACACTTCTCAAAAGAAGACATGTAAACAGCCAACAGATATGTGAAAAAATGTTCTGCCTCACTAGTCATCAAAGAAATGCAAATTAAAACTACAATGATATACCGCCTAACTCCAGTCAGAATGGCCATCATCAATAACTCAAAAAACAACAGGTGCTGGAGAGGATGCAGGGAAAAGGGAACACTTCTACACAGTTGGTGAGAGTGTAAACTAGTACAATCTCTGTGGAAAACAGGGTGGCAATTCCTAAAAGTTCTAAAAATTGAACTTCCACATGATCCCGCAAATCCCCTACTGGGAATATACCTGGAAGACCTCAAATAACTCTATAAAAAAGATACCTATACATGGATGTTTATCACAACATTGTTCACAATAGCAAGAACATGGACTGTGCTACCCATCAAAAGAGGACTGGATTAAAAAAATGTGGTACATATACATGATGGAATATTACGCAGCCATAAAGAAGAACAAAATCATGAACTTTGCAGCAACCTGGATGGACTTAGAGTCTATAATACTGAGTGATCTTTCACAGGAACAAAGAACTGAGTATCACACGTTCTCACTCATAAGTGGATCTTGAACAACTATCATAATGCTATAAGAAAAGGATTGACAGCAGCAGGAAACAGCGGGGGCGTAGGGCAGTGGGGAGGTGGGATCGGTAGTAGTGGGAAACTGCCTGGGAAACGGGGGACACACCTCATCAACAAGGGTACCTGCGCTATGAATATTTGTAAATCTAACCCTGAATTGTACCCCACAATTTAAAAATAAAAAATTTAAGGTTGAAAAAAAAAGTGATAGTACCTGGACAAAAACCAAAACTTTTAAAAATAAATATAAAAACTGAATAGAAAATGGTAAGATCCAAATGTTTAAACAGCCCTGATGTTTCTTATGTCATTTAACTCTTGATGGAACTGGCAACCTTGAGAATGGCACTTGTACCTAAAATAAAGGTTTTAAATTACTAGAAAATATGTTATATAACCCACCTAACAGCAAAAGAACAATATATTTCACATAATATGGATTCCTCATGTACATATTTAAGCATAATGTTTAACACACTCACTTTACAGACCTTTCTTTCCAAGCATGCACAAGGACTCATCTCAGACTAGTAAATGTTCTTGGTGACAGGAGATACCAGTCTTCAAAGAGACTACAGGTGGAGCTCCAAACCAAATTCACCTTCATGTTATTGGTTTTACAGTAGCCTTCTTCTCAGGAGACATCTTCTTCATCAGGCAATGCCAACTGCAACTGAAAAGAAACATAATTTGTGTGCATTCATAATACACAAACTTAATAGATACCAGGTCCTTTGTTATATTTCCCTTTATTTGAACGAGCTCACACCACATATTTTTCTACCTAAGAATTTTCTTCTGAAATTCGACTTCCCATTTTATATTCCCAATGGGCTCACAGAAAAATCTTAATGATTAAAAGTTTCTCTTTAGCAACACAGTTCCATTTCTGCTTTCATTGTACCCCCATTCCTAGTAATCTTCCAGATAGCTGTTTAGCTGGCTTGCAACTTGGAGCTTACCTAGGCTCCACTTGACAATCTTGCTCATAGCTGAGATTTTTTTTCCATCTGATGGCTCTAAACAACAGGAACTGGGTTTTTCTTTTTCATTGTGGTAGAATCATGCCTGATATTGATCCAAGAGCATAACACTCAATACGTTTACTCAGCTAATGAAGGCATTCTAGCCTTCAAGCTTTCGGCTTCCAGCTTGAACTGCCTTGTGGAATGGAACACAAAAGAAAGGAGGAGTCACAATCCTAATTTCAGACAAGATACCATTTAAGCTATCAAAAATTTAAAAAGATACAGAGGACCACTACATAATGATAAAAGGTTCACTCCACCAACAAGAAATATCTATCCTAAACATATATGCACCTAACATAGGTGCACCAACTTTTATAAAGCATCTCCTAGGAAAACTAAAGAAAGATATTGACTCTAACACCATCATAACTGGGGACTTTAATACCCCACTCACAACCCTAGACAGATCATCAGGACAAAAAATCAGCAATGAGATCCAGAACCTCAATGTGACTCTTAGCCAAATGGACTTAATTGATACCTACAGAACACTCCATCCAAAGACCACAGAATACACATTCTACTCATCACCACATGGAACATATTCCCAGATCGACCACATAATTGGCCATAAATCAAGCATAAGCAAATTTTAAAGGACCAAAATTTTACCACGCACCTTCTCAGATAACAGTGGAATAAAGAGAAACATTAACATCAAAAGGGTTCCCCCAAAACCCACAAAGACATAGACACTAAACAGCTTGATGCTAAACAACTCCTGGGTCAATGATGAAATCAAAACAGAGATCAAAAGA